AACTGTACCGCGCTGCTCCAGGGCAGGCGTGATCTCGTAGATCCGAATCACCACAGTTACCTCGTCCAAAAATTATAGGAAGTTAGTGAGCACTGACTTTCTTTTGACAAAGCTGTGTTGTTGGGCAGCTATGAGGTGTTGATTGTCCAAATATCCCACCGAAAGCAGGCTTACTGGATGATAGTTCAATGCAGTCACTCTTGACCCACCCTTGTGGATTTGCATTACTTCTACCGCGGTCCAGTAGGCCGGCAGCGTTGCTGAGGCAAGGGATCGTTTGAAAATCTGAGTCACCGCATCTGCAATGATGTCAGCAATGGGCCACAGGATTGCTGGATGCAGCCCATCAGGGCCCGCGGCCTTGTTCTGATCTAGCTGTTTCAGTTCCTCTTCTACCTCCTTTGCCTCTACGACAAACGGAGCCATATGCTGTTCAGGGAGCCTTACCAGTAGGTCGAGCAACGGCTTTCCCAAGTCTTTTATGTGGACTTTCTCGAAGAAGCTCTTTAGAAATTCAGGCTTCTCCTTACTGGTGGCCGCACTAACTCCATCTGTATTTACTACATTACCGATTGGTACCCGAGAGTGGGCCTTAGACTGCACAAAGTGATAGTAGACTTTTGGTCGCGGTTGGGATTGCGAGCAATCTTACTCTCATATTCCCTTTGGCAGTGCCTCTGAATCCTAAGTGCGCTTTTTCTCGCCGCCCGATAATGCAGGTGCCGTCGATGGCCACCCATGCTTCTGAAGCAGGTCCAGGTAAATTGGCCTTTAGGAGCCTAAAAGGCACAACTGATACGGGTGCTCCACTGTTCCCTGCCAATGACAACGTGGCATTACGTGGACACTCTTTGAAATTGGCAAAAGAGCGTTCCAGGCTGGAATTTGGAGCACAGTTACTAACAAACCGTGTGGTGAACAGCTGGAACAAGCTCCCAGAAGCAGTGCTCACCACAACGAATGTGATAAGCTTCAACCATAAACTCGATGACTGCTTGCTGCATTCCCTGATTTGGAGTGATCAGTGCAAGGTAAACCACATAGCCATCCTGAGAGTCCCCAGGTGAAAGTTAGTCTTGTATCTTGTTTATTTTTCCTTTCCTCTATCATCTTTCTGCCGAAAAGAAAACAAATCCGGATCCTGGAATATTGGGCGCAAGCCTCGAACCCGAGTACTACTTCAAGACTTCAAGACTTCTAGTCTGTGACAAATAAGTTTTATTTTCTTTCATTTATAAATGAAAACCTCCTAGTCTTGATTTACACATTATACGTGCCTGGCTTGAATTTCTCGCAGAGAACTCGGTCCAGACGATGACCCTTTGTTGACCGGAGCCTACGGATATTACCGATTGAACACTCCAACACCTCATTTGCACATCTGCTCGTCAACCAGATACCCGAAGTGAATGATTAGGAACTTCTCCTGCAGTCGAAGCACAGTGGAATGGCATCAGAGCTCACAAGTGCAAGGAAATGGACGCATTGGCATCAGCCGCAAGTCCTGTGTATCCGACCTGACCTGACTTAAGGCTGGAAGATATCTCTTCTGCTTTCCCTTTTCCAGGTCAACTGAGAAAACCTGGTTAAAGAAACTCAGAAAACGCAGTGTTGGGAGCCGAGAACACCCACCGACAACAGAATAATCTGAACGCTCGATTGGCGAGGGCCATTATTTGTCATGGGAAGACTGGACTGGACTGATTTGTCTTGTTTTAATCAACCAAACGCATTTATTTTGTTGCGTTATCTTAACTGGTGGCGGGCGAATGATCGTTTGAGGATCGTTTGGTGGGCTTTGTGCGCTAAAGCGCTTTCCTTTCCCGTTGACCTCTTCGGGGCGTGGAAATTATGTTTGGTGTAGTACCAGGACAAAACATCGGCATCCGTGCATTTATACCCATGTGTGATGCATCTAATTCCCATCTTCATGGTGGATTGCATATCCCGGAGACCCATGTTTATAAAGAAAATAAGTTGAAGATAGCCAAACACCCTGGAGCGTTTTCGCGCTGCCAACAGTTGAATGCCACAGATCTTTCAAAGAAGCTAACTGCAGGTTTTGAGAATAATGGCGTTTTAGGAAGCACCTATGGATCTTCTCTTAATAAAAAGCGAAAGGCAGATGAAGCCAATCTGCATGTCCACGATGAATTATCAGCACCACATTCATACTGCAGATATGTCCCAGCCTCACCTGTGGTGCTCCATCGCGAGACCGTTAATCGTGTTATACCTGTGGGTTGCCTGCCAATGCATCGACATCTTCCGCACCTCGCTGTATGTAACAGTAACCTTTTGAATACCGAATCTTCCAACGTTGCATCTTCGAGTCATGTTAGCTCTCAAGCTGTCGTCACGACTGCACCTAAAGCTAATCCAAAGTCCTCCACAACTCAGGGTGACTATGCCATCGTAGTTGGAGAGGTGCTGCGTTCATCCAATGAATCATACGAAGTACTCGCTTTTCTGGGCCGCGGGACATTTGGGCAAGTTGTGAAGTGTCGTTGTCAATCTACCCGTCGCTGTGTGGCCATTAAAATATTGAAGAATCTTCCGTCATACCTTCGTCAGGGCAATGTAGAAATACAAATCCTTCAAACCCTTAGCCAACAGGACACCGAGTCCCATAACATTGTTCGTGCTATTGAGTGCTTTCAGCACAGAAACCACATGTGCTTCGTGTTTGAACTTCTTGAGCAAAACCTTTATGAGTATCTTAAATCCAACAAATTCAGACCCCTCTCTCTCCCGGAAATACGCCCAATTGCACAGCAGGTGCTTACTGCACTCTCCAAACTCAAGTCATTGGGTTTGATACATGCCGATTTGAAACCCGAGAACATAATGCTTGTTTCTTCGACTAACGGTGCACTACGGTATCGTGTAAAGGTTATTGATTTCGGTTCAGCTTGTCACAGTTCGAAAGCTGTCCAGAATACATATCTACAGTCTCGCTACTACCGCGCACCTGAAATCCTTCTGGGACTGCCTTTTAATGAGTCAATCGACATGTGGTCTTTGGGATGTGTCATTGCTGAACTGTTCCTTGGCTGGCCTCTTTATCCGGGGTCTTCAGAGTATGATCAGGTAAGTCGCATTCATATCCATTACCTGTGATACAGATAAGATAGACTACTTGATGGTCAGATTGATTGCTAGTCACTTTTTTCATTACTGGAGTTACTCCCGTTCTGCTCCACTTTGTGTTTTCTCAAATGATTTCGTCGTGCGGTATTAAGCATTCCGGGGCAGGTCAAAGGAGTAGGTTTTACTTTTGTCAAAGGCTGTCCCTCTGTTAAATCTTCAGGTAGATTTAATTATTCCCTTCGATTTTACTAGTCGAAGAATGATTGAAACTTATTATGATGAGCAATCATGATGCAGCCACCCATAATTTTTCTTGCTGTATCATTTCAACTCGTTAACTTTTCCCGTCTCTGTCCCATCTTTTTATTAATGCGTGGAGATACTATCATATCAGGGACAGTTTCTGCCCGCTAGTATTTGATTTTGCCTTTCGTCTGATCTGTGATCACCCGTTATCTTATGTTTTATGAAAATTTATGCAATGAATAACAGACGCGGTGAACCCCATAGTCACGGAGGCTGCTGTTCAATGTCGGAAACCAGAAAGCTAAGGCCCGGGACTTGGAGTGACGAACCACTGAAGGCTACACTAGGTTATGCTGGGTGTTGAACCGGACGACAGTAAAGCTTTACCACCAAAGTTGGGCTGTGGTGGTGGGAATTGAACCTCAGACCGTACAGTTCGAAGCACGTCGGTGACAGCGGCTAAACTATTGCAACAGTTAGAGATGATACATTATGCATGTACGAGGCAGTTTTTCGTCATTATTATTGGTTTAATATAGATGTAGAAGTTTTATTTCACACTTCGAGATTGACAAACAACTCAGCGTACAGCAATGTTCATAGCAAAGAAATGAATTCATAGTTCGTTCTTGGGTGGAATACTGCTGGGTTTCAGAGGTCAAAGCTACATTTTTCTTCGCCTAACCAAAGCCTAACGCATAAGGCAGCAAGGGGGGTATATAAAAGTCGCATTTATTTTATTAGGTAATCAGTGGTCATTTTCAGCGTCAAGAAAAGCAATAGATTTTCCTTCTGGCATGACATGCTACACAGCCCGAACTAGTTCTCTCGCGACTCTTGATAAGTATTTTACTATCAAGGCACCGCAGCTAAAGTATAACGTGTAGCCTGATTATGTTGCCGGTTTCCACCTCGCAACTATGGGGTTTACCCCTGTTCACTTGGGCGTGTAATAAAAAAATGTAAAATTATATATTTATATTTCACTCACGATTGACGCCAGGCTGTGCCAAACAAATCATGGTGCAATAATATTTATTAAAAGAAAAGCCCTACGTGAGTTGCATATGGGTCAAATACTGCAAAGTTGCCCAGGACAAGGCAGGTAAATTTTCGTAAGGGATCCACAGCCGAAATCTTCGGCTAGCCAAAGCCTAATCCGCAAGGCAGCGGGGCGGTGTGTAAAAACCGCAATCCATTGGGAACCGTTGTCCAGTTCATCGGATCATACGCCCTTCGGACGGAATCAAACGTTCAAGGTGCCCAATACACCTCGATGCCCAATCGAGCCAGTGACCACTGTCACACTGAGGAGGGTGTGGGTGAGTGGTTTGTACGCCTCTTCTGGTTTGGTTTAGAACCAGGGTTTTTGGCTTAATCCCCTGGGTGAAATGTCAGTGGTTCAACAACCCGGTTATAGCCCCGGATGTCGGCTTTTCATCCTCTCACTTTGGTGGGGAAACACGTCCGCCACGAGAAGACAGTGAGTAGGGCTTCCTCAGCAGAGACTATTTGGGACGCCTGGTCGTATGGGAGTGATATGAGAGACGATCGCAACAGCCGTTGAACAGAGAGAAGACAAACGCCCGATATCTAGGCTTTATTTAACATACAAATGGATAACAGGGGCTGAAAAGGAATGAAGGGAGAATTTAGAGGGACGAGTACAAAGTAATGTGAAACGACAAACTAAAGTGTAACATAACATTCCCCCCCGCGGACAGTTTTCGTCGGAATTTCTGTATGTGAAAATGTTCTATGCTTCTCGGTTTCTCAGATTATAGGGGTGAGTGCGTTGTGCTTCTACTAATGGGTGTATTTCGGGTTCTTTATTGTATGGATCAGTGTTTTGAACGAGGGATGGGGAAATGCTCGTGGTTGCTGTCCCATTGTTACTCTCTGTATGAGGGGGGGTTGAGGATTGCATTCGGGGATTGCAGATTCATTGGGTTCTGGGTATGCACCCGTTGGTAACTCTGGGGGTCAGGTGGTGTATTGATACCGTATCTTCTCGCCCATTTGGGAAACGGATATGGGCTTACTTGGGGTTACATTCGAGTAACTCAACTTCGTCCACCAGGGGGTCGGTTTTTGTTAATCTTAAGGGTCGACGCATTAAGACTGGTCCAGGAATACTCAACCAGGATGGTATGGAGACTCCTGATGCAGATTTGCGATTATAAGAAAACAATCGCTCGTGTGGGGGCACATTGGTGGCTGTACACAGTAGTGATCGAATAGAATGGAGAGCTTCTGGAAGAACGGATTCCCACTGAGTACACGGCAGATCCTTGGATTGCGCTGCGAGAACGATAGTCTTCCAAAGGGTCCCGTTTAGTCTCTCAACTTGTCCGTTTGAGCGAGGGTTGTAGGCTGTCGTTCTGCTGGAGACTGCCATTGTTGTTAAGGAAATTCTTAAGCTCTTCGGACATGAACCCCTATCAGAATGTATGTAGGAAGGTAAACCAAAGATCAAGAATAAATTGGTGAGGCACCGAATGACTGTAGCAGCTGATAGGTCAGCGCAGGGGTAGGCAAACGGGAATCGAGAGTCCTCGTCCACAATCGTCAAGAAATCTCGGTTTCGAGATTCTGATGAAAGCGGACCCTTAAAATCAATGTTCAACCTCTCAAACGGCGCAGTGGCTTTGATTAAATTTCCTACGACTGCGGGATGACACTGATTGATTTAGCTGCTTGAGCGGTTCAAGTGATGTGGACACTGAGCAGCAGCTGCGAGACAATGCTTCAGCCGCCACGTTTTCGTGTCCAGGGCGATAAATAACATCGAAGCTGTAGAATGATAGTTCGATTATCCATCTCAGAGTTTTATCATTTTTGATTTTACCATGGTGTCTCGAATCAAACGTGAAGACAACCGATTTTTGACCTGTGATCAGTCTGAAGTGCGTGGCAAGCAAATAGTGTCTCCACTTCCGAATAGATTCGACGATGACGTTGGCCTCTTTCTCTACAGAGGAATGATGCCGTTCACTTGGAGATAACCTTCTAGAAAAGAAGGCAACCGGCCTACTGTTCTGCGAGAGGGTAGCCAAAATAGCTACGTCTGAGGCGTCAGTTTCCACGACTATTGATATCTTTGGGTCGATGGTGGTGACGACTGCATGTTCTAGTTCGCTTTTGAGTGTTTCGAAGGATATTCTGACGTCCTCTGGTAGGGGAAATGTGTTATTATGTACCAAGGGATGTATCTTGTCCAAGAGTCGAGGAATCCAATGGGAGTAATATGAGAATAAACCGATTACCCGGCGTTGCGATTTGAGGTTTTTGGGAGGTGGAAGTTCTCGGAGTGGCTTCAATCTTTCAGAGTCCGGTTTCATCAGACCGTGAGAGACTTCGTAACCCAAGAGTTTTACTTCTCTGGTACCAATGATACACTTTTCTTCGTTTGGAGTAAGCCCATATTTTTTAACAGTGTTGAAAAAATTCGTTAGACTTTTGTCGTGATCTTTGTGCAGTCCGCATACAGTAATGTCGATGTAGGCGAAGGTGCCCAGCAGGTTTTCCTCCTGAATGAGTTTATCGATTGCCTGCTGGAAGCAAATGACACCATTAGTCACTCCGAAAGGTATTCGACAGAATTGATACAGCCTGCCGCATGCTTCAAAGACAGTGAATAGTCGATCTTTTGCCTCTATAGCGATTTGATGGTATGCACTTCGTAAATCTAAGGCACTGAAGACAGCGTATCGTGATATTTTGGACACCATTTCGTCTATTCGCGGCAGTGGGTAAGCGTCCAATAGCGTGTAGCGATTGATAGTTTGACTATAGTTGTCTACCATGCGTCTCTTGTGTCGTTCATTTGTGGTCACAAGAACTTGTGCTCGCCAGGGTGAAGTGGAAATCTCAATGATGCCCTCCTTAAGAAGGCGGCGAACTTCTGATGGAATAAATTTCTCGTCATCGGGGGTATGGCGGCGTGATTTGGTTGCTAGGGTTTACTCGTGATCGTTCGCACATCCTTTCACTCGGTTGACTCGTCTCAACTCCGTGGCACAAGCTCACCAGGTAGCTGTGTTCACTTTCT